CATGAGAAATTGGCTTTTATTTTGAATTAATAAATAACATTTTATAACAAAATACCTGAATGTACAGAGTATTCTAAAAAGAAAAAAAAGTTATATACATGCTTTTAGGTGGCAATTAGTGTTAGAAAAAAAAATAGATTTGAATAATAGAAATTCAAACAGAAATTATATTGGAAAAATCTGAGATAACAGCTAAATTATTTAAATCCATTTTGGCCTCTGTGTGTGTGTGTGTGTGTGTGTGTGTGTGTGTGTGTGCATGTATGTATGTATATTTATTTCTTAAAATTTTAAACATTATATTTAATGGATACACATGTTTGAGTAGACATCTATTTTTTTTAAACGGTAAATTTACACATACAGCTTGGAAGTGGTTCTTTTACATACATTTATGTGTCTTTCCAAATGCTGGGTACTTTCATTCTGTCATGTGCAGGATGGGATGGATGTTGTCAAATTTATGCAAAAATAAATATAAGTGCCTCAAGTGGGACTTGAACCATGTGCTACTTGATCAGTACTGATTGAACTGCAGAAATTCACATTCATGTCTGACAAGGAAACTACTCATCATCCTATTTATAAAACTATAGCATTTGTTGCAATTATATTTACTTTGTGAAAAAGTCTCCAGCTATCAGATAATGAAATCCACATCACAAAATGGTTATCCTCAATCTAGGAAGTTATCACAATTAGAGATCCATCTATGAAGTTTGTCTGGAACAGATGCAGCTATTTTTGAATATTACAAGAATCAGTTACACTGGTTAGGTGTAACTTGACAACTAATCAAAGGAGAGCTTAAATGTATATGTGCAAATAGACACTCTCCTATAGAGTTACTCAGTCAATAGTGAGAGTCCATTGAGTTAATTTGTGTACTGTGTGGTTGTCATATTCATAATGACCATGCAAGTAGATGCTTTTCATCTTGTGCAAGGATTTTTGGTAAAACATTGCACTACCCAGATATGGCAGATACCCACCACCATCCAGACTTGCCTACTGTAGCTTCTGATTTTTCCTATAATGGATTTGTAGATGTTTTGAAATGTGAAAGGAATGCTGGGATAGGTGGTTCAGGTTGCAACAAGAGCAATTTAAAGGAGACTAAGGAAACATTACCCTAAGTAGGCTATTTTTTAATTAATATTTTGATATTAATGAAAAAAATAGCCTACTTAGCCTACTGAATACTTTCCAGAGAGATCTCACATATATGCATTTGACAAAAGCCATCAAGCAAATGGAAAAAGTTGGTCCACTGTTTTCATAGACAAACTATTCAACTTCTACTTCCACCAACAATTTATGACAATACCAAACAACATTCTTGATTCTCTTTTATAGTGGGATTGAGCTTTCTTCAAGACCCAATTCCTTGAAGTATGATCAGATGAAGATGGAAAAACACAGGAGCAAATTTCTGGAGAATATCACAGAATCTTATTCTTTCCTTACAATCTTTCAATAAAAGAAAAATATTGCATGTATTCAGAGATTGTGATGGCAATACACATGTAATAATTTAGTAAACAACTAAAACAAGATTTTCATTTTGTTGCTCCATATAAATGTATATACAAAGTAAACCTGCTTTGATACAATGCTTCATCTTATAATGAAAAATAATATTACTAATATTACTAATACATGTATTTGTATATACCCTAAGAATATTACCAGTTAAGAGGCTATTCTGAAGAATATTAGCCCACAGTTATTACTGATCAAGGTGTGGCATAGGGGATTGCTACACAAACTCTCCATTTATGGAATCTCTGGAAGAGTTTTCTGAATTATAAGTCCTTCCTAACATGAAGATCATTAATGGCCAGTCCTCCAATGGTCAATGAGATCAATGTAGACTCCTGTATCAGTTCTATAATTTTTCTGTTTTATATCAATGATCTGCTTAAGAAAATACTCGGGTCTTTAGCGAATATCTATGCAGATAATATAAAAATCTAGATGACGAAAGCCTGGCAGCTGATCTTTCTTCTGACCTATCTCTAACAACTCAATGAGAGAAAAACTGGCTGGTCACATTCAATACCTCAAAAATCAAAATAAAAATGTTCCATCATCACCAAGCAGAGCTGAATTTCTGCCTATCATAATGAACACATTTTCTCTCTTGCCTTCAATGCCTATTAGGTCTTAAGACCTCAAGTGGAACTCATACCTATGATCCATCATTAAAGGTGCTGGAAAAATAGTTAGGTATTTACTGGAGCAGCACATGGAAGTGAAACCTCCTGCTATGATTTACAAGAGCCAGACTAAAATGGAGTTCTGCTGCTATATGTGGGTTGGAGCTTCCCAGTCTTCACTTTCCTGTTCAAAAGTATCTATGTGGCCTTGTAGGTGGTGAATTATTTTCCACCCTAGAACCCCTTACCTACAGACAAAACATTGCAAACTTCTTGCTACTCTATAGCTATTTCCATGGAAAATGTTCTGATGAACTACATTCTTTAGTTCCACCAGTTAAGACCCACCAGGCAACATACACTTGGTTAAATCATTCTCTATTCACTTCAAATTCCATTAATAAGAAGGAAGTTCCACCTGGAGAGCTTCTTTCCATGAACTGCTACCTTGTGGAAATAATGCCCAAGAGGATGCTTTCCCAACCACTATAGCCTTAACCTTGTCAACTTTTGGGTTAACCATTATCTTTCCTACATATTCTCAAACTGCACTTCATACCTTTTACTCATACAACAACCGCCTTCAGTAACCCTCTACTTTTAGTGGCTATTGGGCCTTATATAGGGTGAACATTAGTTATATATATATATATATATATATATATATATGGTATGTTTAGGCAGTAAGTACTTATTCAAACAGGTTTGATTTTAAAAAATCATACAGCTTGCCCGTTTAATTTTTTATTGTATTTTCGAATAAGGAGTTAAGTATTGTGCTCAAAATTGTGGACAAACTGTTTAAAGTTCATATTGTTAAGTACTTTTGACCATCTCAGTCATTTTCAAGGACCAATGTGGTGCCTATGTGGTGTCTGTGTGGTAATTAGAATTCCTTAATTCCTTTATATATATATATATATATATATATATATATATATATATATATATATAAAAAATATAGTTTTAAGGTATGGTATATTTATGGGTTAAAGTGCTCAATATCAGGGATAGAGTGTATGTAAATATAAGAGTGGGCATTGAAGTCAACACCGAGGGTGACAGTGTTTCATGCTAAACTTTATATATATATATATATATATATATATATATATATATATATATATATATATAGATAGATAGATAGAGAGAGAGAGAGAGATATTAGGTAATTAGGAAAAATAAGGAATAAATACATATATGCTTAGATTTGAATGACTACAATATTCTCCAGGTAAATTTGCAAGGGAAAAAGGATATTTAATTTCTAATCTGATTTGCTTACTGATGAGTGTAGAATTGTCTGAATATTATGATAAACAGGTAGTAAAATTAAGATGAAAATATACTAAACAATAACAAACTTATGCTTTATTCCTATTTTTAGAGACAAGTCAAGCATACGTCTGGGAATACATTCAGTTGTCATCAGAGTATTATTTAAATAAGTATCAATAATCCAATGAGTAAATTCCCAATGTACATTATTTAGAGTTTTGAACAAAAATATAAAATAATAAACAAAAACAAATCAAGTAGGATTATTTTCATAATGTTTGCGCAACAAAATCCAAGGTTAAGATGATTTTTACTGACATATTTTGCAGAATCATATACAAGGGTTTAAAAAAAAAGAAAAAAAAAGGAAGTACTTGCATATTGAGGATTTCCTGCTCCACACAACACGTTTCAACTTGTATATTATCATATGACAAGGATAGTCTTTTTCTAGACAAAGATGGAGAAAATAACTCCATTTTTTTAATGAAAAGACCCATATTAACTCACTCACAAATGTCACTAATCTAAAAATATAAGCAGAAACTTTTTGTTTTAAACATATTAAGTTTAGATGATACAAGTTTAAACTGTTTGAAATTTCTTTTAGGAAATTAGAAATTTCAAAATCTTGTATGCTGTAAAAAATCTTCCATATACTGTAAAAAGAAAATGAATACTAAATTTGATTCAACCTAAAATGATACAGATGTAATTGATGTTATATTTAAAATCATAACAAAATAATGGATATGACAGCAGTAGAATAATATATTTAAGTGAGATATTTCTTTGATTTATGTATAATGGAGCATAGTTCTTGGAATTTTAAGACATCTAAAAATAATAAAAGTTGTGATGCCTTTTTGAGATAGACCTTAATAACTGACCAATTTGTCTTTAAAACCTGCAGATGTGGAGGATTCTACATTAAACCTGACCCTTTGTCATACCTAGAATGAAAGCAAATAAAATGAACAAATAAGTATATTCCAACAAAAAATAATGTCAAAATTACATGAATACACACATACCCACACCCATGCCAAAAATATAAAATGATGCTGCAAACTTATATTATTGTAACAAAGTCAGGTAATTAGAACAAGTACACATATATGAAGTGGGTATTGAAAAGTTCTCAGCTCTCTCAAAAAAAATTCTGTTTGCCCATATATTGATAAGTGAGTTGACCGAAGAACTTCTCAGCACCTCTGTGTGTGTGTGTGTGTGTGTGTGTGTGTGTGTGGTATATATATATATATATATATATATATATATATATATATATATATATGAGAGAGAGATGTATGGTTGTGTGTACTGATCCAATGTACACATACCAAAACATCTGAATGCATAAAATATATTTCAACATGTAACTTCATATGAAATGAGAAAAAGTGAGGAACATATAATAAACATAATATTTCATCTTATATATGTATTGTGTGTGTGTGTGTGTCTACATACATAGTATTACACTTTGATATTTTCAAGCAATCAACTTACAACAAGATTTCAGCATTAGCAATAAATAAAATAAAAATAATGTTGTCATACATAATCAAAGAAGAGTTGGTAAATCCAAGTGAACTAAAGAAATTCCTTTGTGACTGATGAGAAAAATTGATATCAATAATTTATGGGACTCAAAAAGAAAACTTTTGTAAGATTTGAATTCATCCAGAAAAATGAAACAAAATAAAAATGAAAAATCAAATATATAAATCTAAATGTTGAGAGATGCACTTCAACTATCAGAGGGCTGTCCCGTTCTACTTCTTTGTTAAGAGAAAAACATGTGAAAACAGGAGCTTAGAATGATAAGGGGGAATGGTGAGAGATAAATAGCATAAAGGAAGAAAAAACGGGGGTGGGGAAGAATGTATATAGATAGAGGGAGTAAGAGAGGAATGTAAAGGGATAGAAGGATGTAAAGAGAGGAATGGAAAAGGACTTAGAGAAGGAGGAAGAATTGCTTAAAAGGATAAGTGCTTAGAGAGAGAAAAAGTGGGAAATAGGTTCAGGATCATAATTCATTCATAACTTCTTTGAACAGAGACAATAAATTCCCCCATATGCAAATATGGATTCTCTGAAAAAGTTCTTTTTTTTTAAAACGACACAAAATGAAATTGTCTTTTCAAGAACTAAGCCGTTTATTATGAAAGTGAACTAACTATATGTAAAGCTACTGACAGGCAACAAGTAATTTTATTCACAGGAAATAATTGAAATTAAATGAATAGTGAAAAGATTTCACTGAAAAATAATGGGATGGTCAAATGTAAATGGTCCATCTCTTGTCATGAACATACACACATAATATATACACATGCACATTATATAAATATCAAGAATGAGAAGTAAATAGAGATTGGGAAGGGCACTGAATGAAATCATCAAATGTAGAAGAATGGGTGAGTGTAAGAAAGAAAGCAACAAAAATATTAATTTGGTAACACTTCAAAATTTAGTCATTTCAAAATCAAATTTTAAGTGATGATTTTTTTCTCAATTTAGGCATAAACTTGACTTGATTATCTTTTTCTGACCTTATAAATATGCTATCTTTATATAATGTTGCTCACCACCTTCTTCTATATGTACTCCCTTCACAACATGGGCGATCATGGCTCTCCACAACTTCCTATCTTTTGTAGCTCTTACTAATGTTTGTTTTTTACCATCCCTCCCAGCTCCTGTTCCACCATCCATTCACACAAGTTTGTCAGGTAGTTGGCTCACTGCCTACTCCTGTCACTTTTGCCTTCAATATATCATGTGAGTGTCAAATTCTCCAAATCATCCTTCCTCATTATGTGTACCAGAAATTTCAGCTATATCTTTCTGATTCTGAGTATAAAAATCCATTTTATTTTCATTTTCCTTAAGAATTTGTTGCTTATGCGCTGTCTATGGTATTCTCAGCATCCTTCTATAGAACCACATCTCTGTGAGACAAATGTCCATCATTCACTACCATATCGGAAAATTCATATTACGCAGCATTTCATCTCACTTTTATTTGTTTCAAATGAAATTTTCCTGGTTCTTAGTACTTTGATTAGCTTTTGGAAGGCAACTTTTGCTGTTCCAATGTGCATTCAGATCTTCATGTCACATTTTCCATCCTTTGTTAAAATACTTTCTAGATTTTATATTTTCTTAAAAAAAATGTAACAATAAATTTCAGAAAGATGGTTGCTTGTTTATTTGACACTTTATTTTAAAACTTAGTTGAGCCAAGAATTTTTTTACACCCCCATGTATTAGAAAAGATATTTTTACAAACCCATATATTAGAAAAGCTATTTTCATTGATGTTTATTACAGCACTTAAAATTCACTTTAATATCTTCTCCTCTTAGACTGGTTTTGATAGCTGACAAGTTCCATGTGGTCAGTTTTCCTCTTCCGACAGAGGACCCATTGCTAGTTAATCACTGTTTAAATAAATTTCCTTTCTCTTCCTTAATTAGTATGCACTAATCTTGGTCAGTCATGTGATCTTTAACAGCCAATCAGCAAAGCCCTGTTTTTACAGAAAGATAATGTAGACTGTGGAGAGAAAAGATGCATATTAGACTTGAGCTGAGATCATCCTTTGTAACATGACATACTGCTGACTCATGCATAATAATTGCTTTTTGCAATATCCACAAGTTTTCCTTTTCTGGGTCAGAGAGAAGGTATATAACACATTTTTATACTTTGCATATTCTCTTTTAAGAGAATAAAGACTATTTAGATTCTTACAACTTTTCTCTCATCATTTTTATTTTATTCATTATATATGTTTGGGTTATTATTTGATTTGACAACCAAATAAATGTTGGGGTAGCCTGCCCCTTTATTTGGTAACCTAACAATTTATTACAACAAAACCAGCCTTTTAAAAAGTGACACTAATCTTTTGTTTTCAATCCCTACAAGAATTTATGTGAGATGACAGATTTGGTTTTAACACATTAAAAATGTATGCATTCATTAGAGTGAACAATATCTTCTTTAACTTTATTAATAAAATTCTTATGCTTATTTATCAATGATGCCTATTTTCTATACGAGATTGATCGAAAAACTTACCTATAGTCATAAATAATCTTTATACTTGCTTGGTATTCCCTTTGATGTCAAACTTCACTAATCAGACTTCTTAGATTCTCAATATTTAATTAATGTTTAATAAAAATGAGAGAAAGTCCTATTATCCAACAAATGAAAGAAAGAACACTATAAAAAGAGAAAGTCATTTTTCTTTACAAACATGAGAAATGAAACAACCTTTATTTTCATATTTTCTGGAAGTAAAAAACAAATATGTATTTCAAAAATAAATTACCCATCCAAATGTCTATTCCAAGGTAACTGATATCATTTTTTACAACCACTGTGCTTTTGATAATCAATTCGTTGTCCTTTCTTATATGCACAAGTTATATAAAAAAAAAAAAGTCCCCCCCCACCATTTATTTTTTCCAGTAATATCCACCATTGCTGCAAAACAACAATAAAAAAGGTGGGAAATATGGCTGATTATTCAATCCTATTATGCCAGTCCTCATGCAGTGCATGTGCAAAAGGTGATTTCCCTCAAATACTTCCCTTGATAATCGAAGAAATTCACACTAGTCTAACTTATACAACATTTATATATACAGCTTCCTTCAATTTTCTCATACAGCAATGTTCTGCATCTATTACAAATTTGTTCTGTGACTCCTTTTTCCAAATATTATCTTTCTCATAATGCCTTTTCCCCCTGCTTTTCTTTTCTACATTTACATGAGGACTGTCTGGAAATTATCCAGCCAGTTACTATTAATAAAAATACCCAAACTAGAACAATGATACTTTAGTCTCCTTCATAACATCCCCTTTGCAGCCTCATACATTTAACCTAATATCCTTTCCTATTTTCAAAAAATCTACCAAGAACTCTCTTGGAATCTCCCTTAGATGTGTCATTGCAGTCCCCTTAATCTTGTCCAAAGTCTGAAATCTGCTTTATCAGCAAATTTAGTAACTTAGCAAATTTAAGTTAAGCCATTGAAGAACAACTGATAGATACTTTTCAGATAGTCCTTGGAATTCTCAGGTCTTTTAATTCTTGTGTTCTCAATAAGCAACTTTTTTTGTTTGGGTTCCTATATATATGTATATATTTCAGCATTTTAGAGTATTCGATTTGTTGAAGGCTTTATGTGGCTCATATATAATAAATTCTTAGCACACTAAAATTTTGAAACTTTTTCTGGTCTTTGCTCATTGAATCATCTCCAAAAACATTCTTAATTATTCAAATAGTTCTAATGGAAAACTCCATATATTTTCTAATAATATACATAATTTTTGGTCAGTTACTTGTCTTGTGATAAACCAACTCAGAATAATAATGACTAGTCACAAAAGTACAGTATGTAGTCAAAGAATTAATGACAAATTTATTATGGCTGGCAAGTGACTTTCTGACTTTAAGTAAATTATCTGTTATTGCCTATTGGTAATTTCTGAAGTAAAATTACAACTGGGCCACCATAGATTGTTAGGAATTTGCTGTAAGGCAAAGTGAATCATAAGATAACAATTTAGATAAGAACAGTAACCTGTTCACACCTAGAGAGAGGAATGGTTGAGAAAGAATGTAAGTAGTGAGCAATTTATTAATAGGATAAAAGTTTAAATGTTTCACATCTACTTTATATCTACATTTCAAGTGTAACTTGGAGAAAGAACAATGACTATACACTGAGAAGGTTACGTTTTTATCTTGAGTAAGTTTTTATCTTAAGGATAAGACTACCAGAAGCTTCGTAATGAGAAAGAACCATATTTGAACCATGGTAAAATAGATCTTTTTGTAAAGGCAATAAGGTTTTGTATCAATAAAAGAATTCACAGTGCTGAACAGAAAACATATTATAGAACATTTGTATCAAAAAATTAAAAAAATCTGTCTCAATTGAAAGTTCTACTGTATTGTATAAATATGTTTTGTTATGTATATTTAAATTTACTTAATAATGTTGTTATAATGTATTATGCATGCTTATTATTTTTCACATACATAATAGTTATATAATATAATATGTAAGTGTTTGTTTATATATGTGAGTTGATAATGTGTATAGAAAACAAATATTAAATTTCCTATTAAAAATGCCATAAAGACAAAAAATGGCCCTACATATATACAAGATTAGAATTTTAGTAAAATTCTAATCTTGTATATATGCTAAAACACTAAAAAATCAGCATGTCATGATGAAAACATGTTCCAAATGTAATGAAAATATAATTTTATCATCAAAATCTTTGTTATTATTAATATAAATGATCAAAGTATTTTTTATTATTTAATTAAATTTTTTTTACTCCTTTTTAGAACATTCGAAATTTTGATTAAAAAATTGTTTTTCTTGCATCAGTGGTTGAAGTAAGTAAATTTTGGCCTCTTTTCTGCAGTAACAGACACATTAATTTGGAAATTCTTACAAAAATCAAATAATTGTCAGATTTTAATGAAATTTTCAGGACTTATTCACAAATGAATGAAATTATTTTAGATTTTTTTTATTAGAAAATCTTGTAAAAAAATTTTTTTTTTACATTTGTTTCAGCCCATTACTTAATTTTATGAAAACTTGAGAAAGTCAATGTGGTAATTTTTAATGATTATTATAGTTAAAAGTAGAATTCTTTGAAGAATTTAAATCACCAAATCTTACTAAAGATCTGTTCTGAATCAAAAAATAAAAAATGCAATAGAGCTAAAAAAAATTTAATTAGAGAAACTTAATTGCTTTTATGAATAGTATATATTAAAGACAATATTGTCTGAAGAAAAAAAAATTTTGCTGAAAAATGAATTTTTACAAGATTTGTTATCAGTTTTTACAATTTTAAATTGAATAATTTATAAAGTTTTTAAATCTTTTAAAATTCAGTTTCCATGTGAAAACTCTTAGTAAATACTGTTATTTAAAAGTATATTTATTAATCATATATTGTAAAGCTTATTACAATCTAATGACCCCAGCTATTTTTAAAAGAATTTCAACAATTTGTTTATATATATATATATATATATATATATATATATGTGTGTGTGTGCAGAATTTCTGAAGTATAGATGGTCAAGACCTTTAACATTAAAAGGTCATGTATTTTAAGAGTTGTCACCTCTTACAAGAAAAAAAAAACTTCATATAAACTTTATCATCTGCTCCAACATACTCAACTATGAACATGTTTGGTTGTCAATAGATCAATAAACATGTCAGAAAAACAAGACACTATATTTAAGAAATGTTTGTATACAACATTTTATGCTATAAGTAAGTAATATTTGTTTCAAATCAGATTAATTTAATTTTAAATTTGTTAATTTTCCTCAAATAACATTTCAGAAAAAAATATTTTATTTTTTTAAAGATTTTTAAAATTAACTTTTGTTTACAAATGTGTCAAAATGATCATTTTCGTCAATTTTATTGAAAATAAAAATCGATTCCTATCAATATAATTTCTGTTTGAAATACCCCAGAGTGTATTTTGCTTACTGGGAATAGTAAATTTTAAATCCTTTAGCTTTCAATTAAAGCTAAAATGAAAGCATTTTCATTTTTAAAAATTCATTTTAAACCTTAACATATACTGAATTAGTGGAATTACCTAAGTTTTAGTATTATACAGATGTAGAAGTATTTATTTTTTATGTGTTATAAACTGTAAACTGATTCCAGTACTGCCAATAAACAAAAATTAGGAAGAAAATAAGAACATAAGGTGTAAATTTAGCACCTGTTAATTGATGTATCATCATTATAATTTTTTGAAAGCAGTTATCTCTTGTCATAGAAAAACATTTTCCACCATGTTCAAAAAAATCCTTTTTATCCTTGTCTGCTGTTTGTGTTGCCATTAATCAATCAAAATAGATTATCATATGATCTACTAGATTGTCAGCAGATCATGTTGGGTCCTTCATGGCATTTCTCAGAGCAATGGGGATCACTTGACAATCTCTTTCACTTCTTCAAGTAACATGATACAAGTTATACTATTACCTAATACAAACACCAGGGAGTAATACCTGACCTGAGATGAATTCATGCCTTCCATAAAGGCATTAGTGCAAAATGAACACAAACTAACCTTAGCAGGAATTGAAACTTGGTTCACTGATTCTACTTTCTGTGCAATTAACCAGGGAAATAATCCTGAACCTCTTCCCAGCAATTAATATGAGCAACTAATTAAGGAAATAAAATTAACCATAAATAAAATATAGTAGAAAATAGGATCAAAACTAATGATGAAATTGTTTTTTATGGAGTATATTCACACACACACACACACACGCACACACACACACACAAATATAAATAAATTAAAAAAATGTGCAGCTTCATTTAAGGTCAGATGAAAAGAAATAGAAATATAAGAGGATTGTAATGCGCCAATCTTCCAAACAGGGAAAACCTATCTGCATTAACCTATTTTCAATAAATTATAAAAATTTCCAACAGTTACACACATAAATTGACAAATTTCCATTCATTAAAGTTATGTATTCATTTAGAAAACTGAACTGTACTTAATGATTTCACTTAATGACTTTCAGTTGGGCTTATATACTGACCCACTCAACCACCATCACCATTACCAACTAGGTATAAGAATACATAAATGACTGAAGCACCAAGTAAGGATCACATACACAATCCAAGAGTTATTACCAACCAGTATTTTCTTAAGTGTTTGGTCTTCTTCATGTGCTCCCCTCAGGATGTATGCAATCATGGCTCTCCACAACTTCCTGTCCCTGGTAGCTCTTAATAGACTGTCTTTTTGTTATTTCTCCTGAACCCTGTTCCACCATCCATTTACTCAAGCTCACTAAATATGTTATGTGTTGTGAGTATCAGATTTTGCAAACCCTCCTTCCTCACTATGTGCCCCAGAAACCTCAATTGGTCAGTTTTATTATTTTAATTAACCATATACTGGTTTAGAAAGAAATAATTTTTATACTTTCCTATACAACTTAATTTACTTAAATGTGAATAAAAGATTTCTCAAAATCTTTTAATA